ATATATATATATATATATATATAAACTTGTATTGACATTTTAATCACATGGTCCAAAAAATTATGACCACGACCCACCCAGAAAAAATCCTGGATACATCCCTGAGGCACCATTCTGAATAGATTACAAAAACATTACATTGAAACAACACTCAACTTATGATTGCTTTAAATAACAAAATTAAAAATATTTATTTTGAATTTAGTTTTAATATATTTAGAGTAGTACCATCTGAACACGGATGATTTAATGAGATGCTCAACCCTGGAAGACAGCTTAGTCCTTACATCTGACTGTAGGATCACAGTACGGTACTGTTAGTACTTAGAGCTTTGAGGTTTTCTTCATGACTAGACCACCACTGTCTAAAAGCCCGTGGTGGCAGCAGGATACATATAAATGCTTTTTGAACAAATATTTCTAAAATTTGGCCTATTTTCATGTGGACTGTTTGATACAGTAGAACCCCCTCCTTTGGGAAACCCTTATTAAGAGGACACTTTTTCGGGCACGAAATGAAAGAAAGAATATCTGTTAAAGTCGGCCAACCACTATTCAGGGAACATTCCGGATATTGACAAACTGCGGGTCAGCGAGGCATGCGATTCATGCAAACCATCTACCCTCGTGACGAATTCAAGTGCAATTCATGCGAGGCATGACGAAGTATAGCTGCAGTATTGTACCAAAAGTGCGAAGCACCTTAAAACACGCTAAAGCCGTAAAAGTGACAATGACAATTTTTAACATAAATTATGATGTTCATATGACCTTTTCATCGAGTAATACTATAAAATCAAACCATTTCAAAAAGTGACTTAATTCAACCCGGCCCCATCGGTATCCCTGGCAGAGTCTAATATTGAATGGAGTCCCGACGAGGCCTCGCCAACCTCGAAACCAACAGGAACAGTAGAGGGTGACAGACGAAGAGGGTTGAATTCTGAATAGCCGAGTCGTACCAACTTGCGTGTTTAATCACGTTATAATAATAATTAATGATAATTATAATTACAACTTATGTTATTGTTCTTAGACTTATCAGCAGTGGTGGATTCAAGGGTTGGCCCAGCCGGCCCGGGACCTCCTAAATTTTTCAAAACTGTAAAAAATTGGAGAGAAAAAAAGAAAATTATTTTTAAATTTTAAGTCTGAGAGTGTCAATTCCGGCCATCTAGAGGTGCCATAATAGTAAATTTTCTTACCTCAGCTCCAACCACGGTGGGGCTGTGGTAGTATAGGCCCTCCATCTGCCGAGGTCCCTCCCTGGGCCCACTCTATTACAAGTACCTTGATCCCCACTACTTATTATGAGATTAATAAATAAGTAATAGAGGAATAGAATATTAAAATATTATGGGGTTATTCTATACTTTTGAGGATTACCATAACCACGAACTATTATCAGTATAGACTCCCTAAAAATGTGCCACGATTAGCTCCATCATCCTCTCCCATCATTTCACCACACCCGAAATGCATTGATTTGTTATAATTTGATTGTTAATCATACCTTTGTTCTTATAATATTTGGCAATCAAATAATTAAGTGACGTTTATATATAGAGTAATACAATAATTATAATATACCGCATGGCTTATAAATCCTAATTAGCAGTTAATTTAATTTAATTCCACTAGGGTAAAACACTGATTAATTCAATGTTGAAAATGATGTTGCTTCCATTTCATCCGTCCATATTTACTTAGAGAGACAATTCGAAAAATTAAACGCTCGGCGTCTATTCCTAATGACATTTTTTCGGGATGGTGGGGTGGAGGTGGGGTGCGTTTATTCGAGGGGGAGTTTGTTCAAAGCAGGGCGTTTATTTGAATAAATACTATGAAATTATTAATTGTTTTAAAACATGAGGTATCACAGGATGCTACCCATTTAATTATTATTAGTTTTTTATGCATTCTAAATTATGCCGTTTATTCTTTCAATTGTTTTTGGTTTCATGTTTTTTAATTGTTTTTGTTGGTATATTCATTTTGTGAAAAATAAATAAGGTTCTCCCTCCATGCATGGGGCGAATGGGCAGTGTGAGTGAAAATAAATATTAGGCTACATAGCTTCATTAGCCCTATTTGAAGTCACGTCTGGATAGCTGGACATTGTATTTTTGAAAAAAAAAATTGTTAAAAGTAGTTAATTCATTTGTAATTGTTTTATAAATTGCACAAGTGTTTGTTAGCGTGAAATGTTGTGTGCCTCGCATGACTCGCACTGTTGGTAGGCCTACACGTCCCGCATGAATTTCCGTCGTGGCTCGCATGAATTGCATGCCTCGCTGGGTGACTCGCTGACTCGCTGGCTCGCACTTTGGCAACCCTCAACATTCCTGGGAATATATGTTTGTGTCCCGAAGGTGTCCCCGTAAAAAGGGGTTCTATTGGAGTTTAAACGTGTGTTCAACTACCGTATATTGTTATTTTTCCCCTTTATGTATCCGCGGGCGATTGATTTGCTTTGTAGCATTTCCGATTTACTTCACTTCATTAGGATAAATGATTGAGTGTCTCGATATGTTATACATTTACTTCACAACTAAGCCATGCTTAGATTTTTTTTCCTGTCAGATATTTCGATTTTCTATAGCAATTGAAATGGTATACACTCACGTTTCTGTTTTCTAGTTTATGCTTTGTTGAATTGAATTGTTTAGTATTTTCTGTACCGGTATTGTCGGATTTATAATCATTATGACTTGCAACTCTTGAATAAGGGCCTATGTGAACTTGAGATAAAAATGACCCTAATGACTAGGAAAATGCATGTATGACTAATGAATCTTATAATTATTGACCGTCTCATTAAAAGTTAATAATCTTATTATTACATTATAATGTAACCGAAGGTCTTGGGTTCGAATATCGGTGGGGACATACGTTTTTCTCAAATATTTATTATCTATATTAAATGTGTAATTCAATGATTTTAATAAATTTTTGAGGAATTAATTTTATGAAGAATCGCAGATTTTCAAAATCGTAACTTAATTTAGATGTTAACGTTCATTTCCAGGTAGAAGAGAATAAACCTACGTAACTATGTCTAACTGTAATTTTCAAGCTCCGGTTTACGACAGGTAACAATTATTTCATTTTGTAGCAAAGCCTTTTGAAGAAAATAAATAAATGAATGATGGAATTCCCCTATCTCTTTACCAATCGATTAAAAGTTAGACCCAATTGATCCGTGACGTGACGTAATTCAATCATCTCCAAAATGTAACATCCATATCTATCAATGTCAAAGCGAAACAGTTCCTTTGTAGAATCCAGTTCTAAAAAGTGAACAAAAAGCATAAGGAAGTAGAGTACAAAATCTAATATTGTAAGCCTGGTAGGCCACTCCAGATGAATTAACCGTCTTGATTGGATCCGTATCCAGATATGGGGAACACAACCTCAAAACAGGGCGATTACCAAGTACTCGTGAAAACTTCAGAGAGGAAAGGGGCAGGCAGCAAAGCCAGAGTTCACATTGCGTTGATTAACCGAGATGGAAAGCGGTCCAAGGATTATAAAATCGACACTGGATTTCGTGAGGAATTAGAAAAGGGGGGCCAGAACATTTTCCCGATAAATTTGAAAGACTTTGGAGAAATAGCGAAAGTCGAACTATGGCGAGATCGTCGTTTAGGCAAAAACGATTGGTGCGTTGAGTGGATTATGATTCGAGACAATGTAAGGGAGGACATATACGAATTCCCAATTAACAGGTGGATTACTGCAGGTGGTATGAGAAAAAGGTGAGCGATACTTACCCATTAGTGGATATAGGGATTCGAAATAGAGGGGAATGACTGTCGCAGATAGGGCGGAGGGGGGTCACTACCACCTCAGCCCCGCCATGGTTGTGCAGAGGCAAAAATTATGATATGGCACCTCTAGATGGCCAGAAATGACACTTCTCCTTGAATTTGTCACTGTTACTTTAGTATATTAATGTGAAGTTTACGGAAGTAAATTTTTGCACGACTGGATGACGACAGTGATGATGACTGTAACAGTGCGTTGTTTCGGCGCTCGCCTCGGTAGCATTGCAGCTCTGAAGTATGTAGGACAAATGTTTAAAACAAATACCAATATAAACATTATTAGAGCCTATGTTTTCGTTGATAATGTAAATATCGACTAATTGACATGAAGTTGTCAGTCTTTGTTGTAATTTACAGCATCCCACCATTTTACTAACATTCAATCGACAAAATTGCCTTCACATCACTTCATACTGTATTTTCTATAAATAATCATATTTACAGGGAAATGTCAAAATGGTGTCAAGTCAATGTAATAATTTTAAGAATGGGGATTTTGATTTGCGCAACGACGTTACCCTCTAGGACAGGTTCATTCAACTGTGACCGTCCTATGTTTTTTGCGTAGATTCCACGCATGTGCAAGCGTGTTAAAAACCAGTTGCTTCGGAATTGTTAATGAAGCCCCAGTGGCCTCCTGCATAGGCAGCAAAAGGTTCAGGATTTGAATTCCGGCACATCCCCCTCTTATTATCCCCCTCTTATTATGAAGTTTAACTATATATACAGGTAAATCCATTCCATGTAATCGTCTTTCTTGAAACAACGCAATAATGAATACATGATGTGCGATACTGTCTCAGAGTATTGGGTTTGTGATTGGGTTATGATTTCAGCGTCAACCCTAATACATTGGTGTTATCACTGTCTGACCCTGAACTATGTATGGGGTAGGCCTATATCTTTTTTGTTTTAATCATAAGCTATGTTAAAGCCTTGGTCTGCAGCTATGTTGTCCTTGTTCACAACTTCAAGGCTATTTCACACATTAATTTACTGTAAGGTGGTATTTTTCCAAAGAATGGATATTATAGAGTGATTAGCTAGGTTCACATTCAGAATTTAACGTGATCTAGTGGGTCATGATCAAGCCAGTCACTTTATGTGAACCAACCAGAATCAAATAACGTGCTCAGCTTAATCACCTTATTGTGATCTAGTGGAGCATGTTGATTCATCATGATTAACCTTGGTTAACGTGATAAATTAATTCATGAGCTTGAATTCAACCAATCAGCCTTCAATTTATTAAACAGGTCCCAACCTCATTGGTTGTGCTTCTGGTAGTTTTCATGCAACACTGCATGCATTAGCATAAATAGATCATGATGATGGTTTCTATATGAACGGTTTTCTCTAACATGCTAAAGTTATCATATTTTATAGATCATGATAAGTTTATCACGATATTGTGAACGTACCTACTGTTATGTTACGGGGTACTCAATAACAGACATGTACTGTTCCTAATTAGTAACAGATAGAGAATCTTATTTCATGGATGTAAAGCATGTAAATCAAAATGTGCTCCATTTGGAAACTATGCTACAACCTTTGGTTTTGACAGGCTTAAAATCAACCTTTGCCATATTCAGTGAGATAACCTCTCTAAGGTTTACACTTTAGATTTGTTTACCTCTTTTCTCCTCTCTTGTTTATATTAACTTCACACAGTTCAGTTTTATACCTGACACCATGTCTTTCACCGAGGAACTGTTTATACATGTCCCCTAAACCGGAGGCATATCATTTACGCCTACACATTTACTTTACCAACTATTTTTTTTTATAATAACACATTTTATAAGAACAAATCATACTACACTTTTTTTTTTATAAGAACACATTTTATAAGAACACTGAGAGCCTGAATTTGTTAAAAATTAAGAAAAAAAAAACAAATTGAGGCTAAGGAAAAATGTCTAATGATATTTTTAGTTATTGTTATTAAAAAAAGAAAAAAATAGAAAACCAACAAATCTTATATGTAACTTAATGCAGTAAGCGTGACAATATAATACCAATGCAGTGCATACGCAATACTATATATTGCTATACAATAATAACTTTCTTGTTTGAAAAGTGTTTAAAAATAAAAAAACAAAATAAGAACATTTTGAGCCTGAAACACTGAGCCTGGGCTAAATTTTACTTTATTTAATATGTGCTATACATATACACAGCCATTACCATTTCCATTACTTCAATTTTAACCCTTCAGAGGAGTGTAGTCCTATATAAAGTGATTTAAGGCATGCGAAAAACCCAGAAACCTCAAGCGGAATAATGCAATGATGAATATAAATTTCAACGTAACTCCAGAAGAATCTTAGGAAAGAAAAAAACACAGCCTCCACCTGTACTCCAACCCGGGTACTTTCACATACATGGCGAACGTCCAAAACCTCTTTACCACGATGACGTTGTGGTGAGTCAAGCGTCTTTAGAATTTCCTTTCATTTTGTTAACGTGTCTGACGTCACAATTTTGATATAACGCTAATATCGCATGTATCTAGACTGTTAGAGATCTATAAGAGTATATTATATGTCTCTTATACACATCTAGATACACCCCCACACCCCCCAACATATATATATATATAATATATATATATAATATATATATATATATATATACATATAAGTACGATTGCACGCCAAAGTAAAAACGTATACAAAAAAATATCCACGTTAATAATCTATTGCAGTCACTGCTTTATTTGTTTATTCTTGTTTGCTAGATTGTAAGACTTTTTTAATCATACGTGTTACGCTGAGGAAAAGCACAGAAAAAATATTCGAATTAAAATATGTTGATGTCTATAACGTCAAAAACCGAAAGGTCCACTGATTAATCTCAGATAAGAAAGTATAATACATACTCCAAGTATTGAAATATTGAATCCCAACACGATGGCGTGTATTTCAATACTTGGAGTATGTATTATACTTTCTTATAACGTCAACGTAGGCCTATACATTTTTACATTGTGCAATCGTACTTATTTTATATTATCAAGACATACGTGGAACCTACACTCATTATATATATATATATATATATATATATATATTATCATTATATATATATAATATAATATAATATAATATAATGATATAATAGAGATAAACTATAAATCGTCTTGCTTTAATGCGGCAAATATATAAATACATTTTTAAACGTTAAAACAGAGGAATCTACGAGTGTGGAAAAATAGGTGCCCCAAACGGGATTCGAAACCGGGACCTTCCGCTGTCAATGCAGACGCCTTAATCAACTAGGCCATTGATGCTTTGTTGGAAATTCGAATGCGATTGAAGAACCGAATATTTCACACTCATATGCGTATTAAAAAGCATTTGGCCTTAATGCAGAGATCAGTATGATACGCCCTCTTCTTATCAGCTATTTACAGCAAGACGAGATCTCATAAGCGATGCCTCTTATAAGTAAATATAATGATAGAGATAAACTCTAAATCGTATTGAGGCAATGCTGTAAATATATAACTACTGTAATGCTGTAAAAACTGTCATATATATATATATATATATATATATATATATATATAGAAAGAACTTGAAATGAAGAGGTTGCAATATTTATTTCATCAAAAATTTCCTGGTTTACCAGCAAGATGTGTATTATAATACGATGTATGTATACGATATACAGTTAATACGATGTAAAGTATGGTGCCATGTATGTCACATCGATAATCGAAAATTGGTTTCGATAAATTGATGTTAGTCGTTGACTTTTTTAACATAACATTTTATTAAACAAATATTTCGAACGCGCCCCCGTTCCTCTTTAGTCTTTATTACAGTTACCAAATTGTAATCAAGTCAAACACTGAGTAGTCATCTATGGCCCCGAGTGCTATTCTACCAACAATGACCTAGCTTTGTTGGTACTTAACAGCATACATCGACTGTAGAAAATTATCACCCATTACATCATATTTTATCCAGTGACGAATTAAAGAGGGTGCGAGAGGTGGGCATGATACCTACCCGTGCCAAATAAATTTGTTAAAAAGTGTTTTTTTTGGGGGGGGGTGGGGGTTTAATGGAAAATTATATTCAAATTACCACTGTCGTCATCCAATCGTGTAAAAATTTACTTCCTTAAACTTCACATTTATAACTACTGACATAATAGTGGCGAATTCAAGAAGGAAGCTGGCCCTGCCCTGCCCCACTCCCTATTTTTTCAAAGTTATAAAAAAAAATGAGAAAAAATAAATTTCAGTGCATTTGCGGCCATCTAGAGGTGCCATAATAATAAATGTTCTTACCTCAGCCCCAATTATGGTGGGGTTCAGGTGTTATAAACCATCCATCAGAAAGTCACAGGGCCCCGACCCTATTGTTACTCACGGCTGTGAACCAAAGTGTAGTAAAGTTAAAATGCTGTACACTTTTTTTTTTATAAGAACCAGTAAAATTTTGCCCCGGCTCAGTGTTCTTATTTTTTGGCCGATTTCAGGTTCAAAATGTTCTTAATTTTTTCTTATTTTACACACTTTTCAAACACAGAAAATTATTATTGTACAGCAAAAATGGGCCCTGGAAAAATTGCCCCTGAAAAAAGGCCTGGTAAAATATCCCAAAATGACAGTACACTTGATTATAGGGGGTATTACATAGTCACACCATGGAGGTATTATTGAGAAGGAGATCACTCGGCAACAGCAACTCGACATGCATTTATACGCTTCCAGCAGAGCAGTTGTGCAATAAAGCATTTGATTTTAACCCATTAAATATCTTTGTAATGAACAATGTTCCCCTGATTAGATTTTTCGGACTTTTAGTACGTTATTATTTGTATAATTCAGGAACGGATTCCGTAAAATATTTATGTTAATATTACTTTTGTGTTCACTATAATTCTGTCTATAAAGATTGATTAGTTCGACTATAAAAGCTAAGGCAGCGTAAAATTGAAAAATACTCAGATTTTGGATTCATTTTTCGAATAGTTAACCCTTGTTAACCCTAAAATGACTTAGTTTATTATAATTCTCAATCATTTATTAATTAATATCTGTTAAAATTAGAATTAGCGAATTTTGACCAATTTATGAAAACTGAAGTTGAAATATACTATACTTTTAAAGGTCATGTAAATGTTCCATTAAATTCGAAACTTTTTTTGGTGGAAAATATTAATATGTTTGATATTTTATGAGAGATAAATGTATCAGCTTTAAAATGGAAGCGATTGCGCAGCCATAGTGATTGACTGTATGTAGTGCGCATCGAGAAAAGAAGGTGCTCTCCATTTTGCCATGTCCAATTTTTTGGTAAACTATGCCTGCTGAAAATTTGATGGCGGGGAACACATCGGACTTCAAATGCATCGCGCAAACGTTCTTCATGTGCTGCAGCAGCTTTGATCTTGGTTCATTTGCATAGCTCTGCGTGCGCATAGCTTTTTCGAGTGATCTTCTCAATAATACCTCCATGGTCACACCTACATTACTGCACATAAGGTACAGATATAATTTTTTGGTTTTTCAAAAACCTCATTTGACATTTTACCTCAGCCTCAATTTGTTCTTATTTTGTTCTTAATTTTTAAGCAATTTCAGCCTCCGTGTTCTTATAAAATGGACGCTATTCCCCTTATTTGGACGCTATTCCCCTTTTGGGACTGGTGATCGCAGCCCTCTGCCCGCGTGGGAGACCGACGAGTCATACCGTGCGAAAATTCCGTTCGCTACAGTGTTTTGACAACATAACGTTTTATCGATTGTTCTCCAAATATTTTAAGGTGGTCAAGATACGATTCCATTCTCCCTCAAAATGATCCCGATCATATTCAAAGAAAGAAAGAACTTGAAATGAAGAGGTTGCAATATTTATTTCATCAAAAATTTCCTGGTTTACCAGCACAGGTCAGTTACAATACCCATTCTCATTGCTTTTCTAATGCATTGTGGTTTTTTTAAAAATATATATATATACTGTCTCTTATACACATCTAGATGTGTATAAGAGACAGCCCAAGCACCTATTTTTACATTAAGGCTTAAGGGGAGAGAAGCATTATTAAAATAATGTTATTGTACGACGGTGATAGCTCCGATTATATTTCGTGTTAAGGACATGCAAGTCTGGTCTTAATATTTGTAATTCACTTAAACTATTTGCCATGAATGAAGAAAAGCTTACACATAGGTTCTTCGTGAATGACACTATATTAATAATACAATATTTTTGTAATACAATATGTTTACAATAGGCCAATATCCGCAGCAATAACGCTCATTGTGCTTTAACACAAATGTTTCATTGGTCACCTTCTTTCGTAGTGCAAACAACCTGTGTCGTCTTTATATGACGTCACAGACAATTTACCAATATGTTTTATCGATGCAACAACAACTAGGCCCATTCAAATGTATTGCCTTTACTGGAATAAAAATAATGACAAGCCTAACTTTTTTGTTTTGTTTCTTTGTAGGTGAAAGATGTACCTTGCGACGAGACATTCACAACCGATTACATGGTTAGTAGTGCATACCGGTAACAAAATTATCGCAACATGTTATTTTCTAATCAATTACCCTTGTACATAGAGTGATGTGCATGTTTCTTTATAATGTAGGCCTATTATCTATTTCTGATGTACTTATTTTAACTGTTTTACCATGTAATGTTTATTATCTTCGTTGCAATTTTAGAAATTCATTTTGTCAACAAAGATGAGGATGAAAATACATACAGAACTTATCATGTTAACGACCAAACCGTTCAAAACATTAAAAGACATTGAAGATGTTTACAGATATAGTTTCGAACTGCCAGAGGTAAGTCAACACTCTAGGCTTAGCATAGCAGCAGGGGCTTAAGCCTCCCCCGCCACCGGACAGGTCAAGCCCCCTCCCATCGGACAGAGCTCGTCGGACAGTCGGACTAGAAAAATATAAAAATAGGCCCACGCCAAGCCAACACATGCCTGTCACAGTCTGAATGTCATTTCTGGTCATCCAGAGGTTCCTCTCCTTTAAAAAATCTCATTTGGGAGGGGGAACACCCTCTAGAACCCTTCCCCCAGCTTGGGCCTACGAGCTCAAGTGCCCCTGTCGGACAGCTCATCTCCCCTACCCTAGAGCCGCCACTGAGAGAGACGACTGTACTGTCGCGCTTTGTAATACCTGTCGCACTTTGTAACAAATTTGTCTCACTTTGTCACACTTTGTAATTTAATAACTTGTCGCACTTTGTAACAACGGAGCAGTCGCACTTTGTAACAACTGCCTGTTGCACTTTGTAATAAAGTGAACTGTCGCACTTTGTAATAAAGCTTGTCTAAATTTGTAATAACTTGTTTCATTCTATACTTTTATGGTTTTTAATTGATAAAAGTATAGAATGAAACAAGTTATTACAAAGTGGGACAGGCTATGTTACGAAGTGTTTCCTTCTATACTTTCATGGTTTTTGATTGATACAAATCAATTTGTAGAAATATAATTTGAGGTGTGGTGAGTCGTTGGGCGAGCATCTATCGGAAAGGAGGTGTGGTGGGGAATGTAGTGGCCGGTGTGGTGCTAGGTGAGGGCAAATTTTGTCTTGTATTTTCGAGTTTTATATGGATTGAAACAAAGATTTTTGTGGGATTTTTTTACTGATACTACAAGGTCAAATGTATATCGTAGCGTAAAATAAAAAAAAATGTAGTAGTTAGGCCTAAATGTTGTAGTTAGCAACTTACAGAAAAGGATGACACGTCAAATGTCAGATGGTTGGGGGAAGAAGGGGTTATGGAAGGCGGGAATTTTGTCTTACAATGATCTTTTCGAGTTTCATATAAGAGTGAAATAAACTTCTGTGGTTTTGGTTTCTAAACCGATCTCAATACAACTTAGGCCTACTGGTCAGGTTTAAGGCTATTCATAGGTTTCTAACATCACCGTTGTTACAAAGTGCGACAACAATTATTGCAAAGTGTGACAGGCTATGTATACAAAGTAAGCCAAATTTGATACAAATTGCGACAGGTACTGGAAAGTGCTACGATTATTACAAAGTAGGACTACGACAGTACAGACAACCCTGCAGTGTTAGCAAGGGTCAGAGGGGCTCTAATTCACTTTCATTCAAATTCTTCTTTTCGCAGGCTGTGCATGGATGGGATAACGATCGCTATTTCGGAAATCAAGCAATGAACGGCTGCAACCCCAACGTTATTCAACTGTGTACAGAAATACCGAACAAGTAAGTTTTATACTTTCTAAACCTCGTTACTTTAGGCCACCATGGCTCTTAATTTTCAAATGTAATTGACATAATTATACAGAATTCAAATTCTATTTAATACATTTCAAATTATTACATAAAAATTTCGAATATAGAAATAAATTTTGAATAGCGACGGTGAATAATGCAGCGTAGCGGAGTAATTAAAAAAAGGAAATATTGTCCGCATGGAAATTGGAAAAGTACTGTGATGACGTCAGAACTGACTTTGAAATTTATTTTGCAGGCCTACATTATGTATTTATCTATGTGATATTTTCCCCTAGCTTCGGCGTGACATCACAAATGGTGGAACCGTTTCTGGAGGGAAAGACATTAGACGAATGCTTACAAAACAATCGGATTTTCATAGTGGATCACAAGTTCTTAGAAGGAATACCAAACGTAGGTCAATTATCGCGAGTAAGATCCATTTATAAGCGTAATAGATATAGTTAAAGGTAGGACTGTTACTGGTGGTGTTGGCGGTGATGTAATGATCATAGTGATGAGTGTGGTTGATGTGATGATGGCGAAGGTGGAGAGGTTGATGACAACAATGATGCCAATGACGAAGTTTGTGATAACGACGATCATCATGGTAAAGATTATGGTGGTGATTGCGGTGATATTGACAATTAATACCATTTACATTAATAAGGGCTACGTCTGGTGATGATACAGACGATAATACTAGAAGTGATGATGATTCAACCGTGGTGAAGTCGATGACAATCATTACGATGATGTTGTTCGACTAGCAACGTAAACGCTTTCCACTGATTCATCTATTCTGCCATCGAATGAGCTTTCATTAGATCTGTCGCTAGGGCTATCATCAATCTTTGAGTTCATTTTTTTGCTGTCAATCCTTTAAGTAACCAAGTATGGACAATCCTACCGTCCGCTGCGCGTTTTATTAGTTTAACAGTTAGATACTTACGTTGAAATCCAAATTTACCCTCTGAGATTATCTAAGAATGTCCAGAATCAGCACAAATACGGTACCAAGAGTCTTTTATTTTAATCCAGATTACAGTTCCTATGGCGCTCTACTACTCAAACGACAATAACGACTTGCTTCCGATCGCCATTCAACTGTATCAACAAGCAGCTTCTGATAATCCGGTAAAGTTAACATAATAGAGTAATATAGAATGATTAGGCCTATTTATTATAAGCCGGTGTAAAATTTACAGTTTATTTAAAGGTGCATTCATACCGAATCCGAATTTTCGGATCGGAAAGCCTACCGAACAGATTAGAAAATAGAATCAGTGTGTAAGAATAAGAACTTTGGCATTCAGCACATCGGAAACACGGTCCAAATGTGAATGCGTCTTTTGACTTGGTTTACAATAAAGCATTGACGCTAAGTATTCCTTGCGTTTGCATAATGCGTTTAAGTAAAGTGTGAACCAAGATTAATAGGCGTAGTATACGGTACCGTTGTTGCGTTTGCGTCAATGACTTAAAATTGCTCTAATATGAACCAAGCTTTAAGTTTGTTTGTTTGTTTTTTTTGTTTTTGTTTTTTTTTTAAAGATTCACCATCACCAACATCATTTCACATCTAACGGTTCTTGTTATTGCTTCACAAGGTGTTTCTACCAAGCGATCCCAAGTACACGTGGATGATGGCAAAACTGTGGTTCAACCTCGCTGATGCATCCCACCACGAGGCGTGCTCGCATCTTGCGCTCACTCACTTCATTTTAGAGACCATCTCAGTAGCCGTAAATCGCAATCTTTCGCCGTCCCATCCGCTTTTCCGTCTAGTTGCTCCACATCTTCACTTCGTTATGGCTATAAATAGGTGAGATACGGTACGGTTGTATTAGTGTTCAAAAATATGTTGGAATCCATTAGATTGTTGATAATTTAACATCCCGGTGTTGCAGAGTATTATAGGCCTATATCCTTTTAATTTTAAGTAGCATAAAGAATAGGAATAACCTTCTGTTGCCGTGGATCTAACAAGGAATAAAGAACACAAAGGCTAATGATCACGTTTTTACAACCGAAACATATCGTTAAGTTATATTATATTTAACATATTTTTCTTGAATTTCCATCTCAGTCGAGGATTGGGTAGACTTTTAGCGAAAGGTGGCGTTTTCGATACCCTTTTTTCAATGCGCCTTGACGGCACACATGCGGTAATAGCAAAAGCTTTCGAAGTGTGGTCATTTACAGAGGACGGAATTTTTCCTGAAAATCTAAAGAAGAGGAAATTGTACGACGCTTCGATTCTACCAAATTACTACAACCGCGAAGACGGCATTCCCATATGGGAGGCTATCAAGACGTACGTGGCCACCATCGTCAAACACTACTATCGTAAGGACCTTAAATTTTATTATGATATAATATACTTGAGAGTCAGTCTTTTTATATTCGTATTAACGCGATCTCTTCCGAGATCTTTCTGGTCGACTTACTAATAATTTAACCATGGAGTTGAAGGCGCCTAAAATGTCAAACAGGACACCCGAATTTGAATACTTTTAAGAAATTAACATCTTTCAATGGCAATAGCATTCAACGTGTATCCGAAAGGTACGAAACCAAATACCTTACCGCTGTACTACATACCCACTTAATAATTTACTATTTTTATTGTACAGTATCTCAAAAGTTATATAATTTGATTTCTTATGTTTCAATATAGACTTACTTAAGTTTCTCTCTTGTTTTAACAGCGTCAAACAATGACATTGTTTTTGATTTTGAACTCCAAGGATTCCGCGCTACGCTGGTGAAAACAATCGAAGATGGGGGATGTGGGTTTAAGGTTAGTTATAAAAATGGGACGGTAAAAATAGCAGGCCTCTCATTTAACAAACTGTTTGAGAACAAATGTCACGCATAACAAACGCGTATAAAGACTATTAACAGCCAATCAAAGTATAAATACAGTACGTACTCTAAATAGAAGGATGACTTGCTTCATTGCAAGCCACTAAAAATATGACAGAAGGGGAAAAAATGTGGCCTCATGTTTTAATGAAATACGAATACAAGGGCCATAGCCTCTTTTTGGTATTGTAAAACAATCTGCAAAATCATGTTTGTTTCCAGGATGTACCAGGTACAGACGGTAGAATTCTCACAAAAGAACAGGTCATTGATATCTTTACTACGATCATCTTCACAGCCAGTGGTGGGCACGCATCCACCAACTTTGGTCAGTACGACCAATACGGCTTCCCGCCAAATTATTCACCAATATTAAGGGGATCGCCGCCAACTTCAAAGGTACATAATTTTTTATTAGCTACTTTACGATACGATATAAAGGCGTAGATCTCATGTGTGAATCTCACCAGTCACTCTTCATACAGCTGAGAGAAAAAAAACAACTTTTCGTTGAAGAGCTATGCTCGATACGATTATAGCATCATACGTTCCTATTGTGCAATGTTATTATTGTTTTCACACCCC